GGAGGTGGGAAGGGGGGTCACGGAACCTCCTGTTCTCCCAGGGTTCCTGTCCACCTTTGTGCTGTGTGCTCTCCTGTCCTCTGGCTCCTCTTGGTGTCTTGGGTCCCCACAGTTTAGCAGAGTGCTGGTGCCAGGAGGTGCCAGGAGTGAAGGGTGCGGGGGGCAGGGCTACGCCGCACAGCCGCGCCTGTGTGCGGTCTCACTGTACTCCACCCGCTTCTCCTGCGTGGGAAGGCCCAAGCGTGGGTCAGCGTGGTGATCCCAGCCCCAGGCTCCACCGTGGGAGGAGATGGGGGCTGGAGACAGGAATGATCTGGGGGCGCTGGTGGGGGTCAGTCTTTCTACACTCCAGTGCCCAAGCCTCGAGGACACCTGGGAAGAAGAGCCAGGGTGGGGGGCACGGGGTGGGGGAGGGAGCAGAGGTGCCTGGGGGGCGGCTCAAGGGCCTGGGGCTGGGGGTGGAGAGGGGTCAGGGCCCCCCAGGCACACCTGCAGGGTGTGCAGGTGGCTTAAGGAATACAGAGTAAAGCCAGGCTCAGGCCTGTCGTCCTAGCTGCTCAGGAGGCTGAGATCTGAGGATCCCCGTTCAAAGCCAGCCCATGCAGGAAAGTCCCTGAGACTCTGATTTCCAATGAACCACCAAAAGAAGCCAGAAGTAGTGCTGTGGCTCAAGTGGTAGAGCGCTAGGCTTGAATGAAAAAGCTCAGGGACATTGCTCAGGATCTGAGCTCCAAGTCTCAGTACCAGCATACACACACACACACACACACACACACAATCCAGTTTCGGGGGTAGGCTTGGTTGTGCATGCCTGCAGTCCCTTCCTTGGGAGGTGGAGGCAGACGGTCACAAGTCCAAGGCCAGGCTGGGAGCCCAGATGGAGCCCACAGCTGTGAAGGGGCGTCTACTCCAGTCTCCCTGGAATTCAGTCAGGCATTCCCGGGCTCGGCTCCAGGAGGCTCCAGGAAATTGGGTCTCCTGGCCTTTCCCCATTTCTGGGGCCCACCTGCATTCCTTGGCTGGCTCTCCATCCCCTGAGGCCTTGGTCCCATGGGGTAATCCAGGTCATCTAAGACCCTTCCACACAGGTGGACAGTCCCTGTGCCATTTAAAGGGACAGTCACGTGGTCAGAGGTCTGAGGACATTCTTCTGTCTGCAACACTGGGGTAGGGATTTAGACTAACCTGTGAATGTCTGCCGTGAAGCCCCTTCCTTTCAGCCCGCAGTCTCTATCCAATGACCCAGATAGGCCGTTCCCATGGTGTATGGTGTCCTGGGAGAGGTGCGAGGGGGGTCATTGGCCCATTTTCCAGATGAGGAAACCGAGGACCAGAGAGAAACTGGAAGTTCACCTCAGTGCCCATCGATGGGAAATGGTAGAGCTGGAATCTGTGAGCCAACGAGGCCTGGGCCAAGCTGTAGACCTGATGTAAGATTCCACTCTGTTGGTGCTGCCTGTAATCCCCGCTACTCAGGAGATGGGGGTCGGAGAAGGCAGGTGGGGCTTAAGTCGTAGAGTGCTTGCTTGGTGAGCATGGGGCCCTGAGTTCAAATCCCGTGCGGGCCTTCCAGTCCACCTCTCAGCTTCCTGTGAGTCCTCTCGTTTCCCTCCATTTTGTCCATTCATCTTCAACATCTCCCCCACCCCTTTCCCCCATGTTCTGACTGTTCCAGAATCCTTGGCACCTGCAGACTGGGTTGCCTGAGTCCTTTGGAGGTCGCCAGCCTCAGTTTCCCCACAGGCTGGCTCCTGATGGGCTTCCGCCTCACCTCTGAAGCAGCTGTCCACCTTGGGCCCTGTCCTGTCCTCCTCCTCCTCCTCCTCCTCCTCCTCGCTTCTCCTTAGTGCTCTGCCGGCAACAAGCAGGTCAGCACCTCAGGGTGCGCTTCGCCGGGAGCCTAGGTCGCCGTGGTTTCCGTGGGGTGGCAAGAAGTTCATGATGACGGATGTGCACGCGTGGCGTGGGGTCAGCCCTCACCACGTCCTACTTTAGACCTTGAGCCACAGGATCTTGGGAGGGGCTCCAGAGCCCCCCTCTGCTCTTCCAGGGGTTTAGGGGGAAAATGCCTTTTTCTTGGTCAAGGTAAGAGGATTCTAGAAGCTTCCCTGCCTTTGTGGAGGTCATTGTGAGAGCAGGGGTCCCCATACCCGGGCTAAAAAAAGGGGGGTCCCCCAGAGAGGCCAAGAAGCTGACCAGAGGCTGGTGGGGTCCAGTCACCTCTCCCCAGACTGTCCTGGGCCATAGCATTTCCTGGGTCTTGGGTCATCATCTGGAACACTCCTGGTCATGGAAAACCTTGGTCTCTAGAGCAACAGGTACTCACTGTCCTTGAACTCTGATCTTCCTGCCAATGCTGAGATTCCAGGCGTGCACTACCACCCCTGGCTCCTGTAAAACTTTGATCCTGTCAATCTGTTAGACTCTGCTCCTCTTATCCTGTCTCTGTCACCTGTGGCCCCGGGGACACTTTGCTGCCCTGTGCCGGCTCACACTGGTTCCAGAGCCGGGGATGGGCATTGGCAGAACCAGAGGTGCCTTTGCCAGCCCAGGACGCCCACAGCGCTCCAGAAATGAACCCCACTTTGAGGTTGGGGAAGGTGGCATTTCCTTCCTGTCTGATTCCACCTTGTTCCCACAACCCCAAGCTCCCTGCTGCACAACTCTGCCCCCGCCCCGCCCTCCCACCCTCCCCCCTCCAGCTTGCCAGGAAGGACAGGAAGGATTCCAGAGGAGCCTCGCCACTCCCTCCTCAGCCAGGCAGTGAGCTTTGCGGCTCACACGGTGCCCACGAGGCGCTCTTCCACCTGAGCCAGGCCCCCGGCCCTTTTGGCTTCTGATTTCCCCTTAGGACTCACCTCAGCCCACTCCCCCCACACCTACCCCTCCCATACAGCTGGGATTACAGGTGTGTACCACCGCACCCGGTTTAGACTGGCCAGGCATCTCCTCCATCCCAGCAAACCAGGACCTTGGTCCCCAGTTCACAATACCCAGTAGCAGGCAGCCCAGAGCTGCCGGCCACCATTCTCCCTGCTCGTTGGACCCCAAACCCCGGCTAGATGAACCTTGAAAGTATCTCACTGGCTGGACACAGCAGTTCACACCTGTAATCCTAGCTACTCAGGGCTGAGATCTGAGGCTCATGGTTCAAAGCCAGCCTAAGCAGAAAAGTCCCTGGAACATTTATCTCCAATTAACCAGCAAAAAGCCAGAAGTGGAGCTGTACAGAGCTCAAGTGGTAGAGTTCCAGCTTTGAGGGAAAAAGTTCAGGGGCAGCATGCAGGTCCTGAGTTCAAGCCCCAGAACCAGCACACGCACGGTTTTCTCCTTGCGGTGGCTGTAATGCAAACCAGATTGGGAGGTGCTGCTGTGTAGCAGGGGTTGGGGTGCAGTGAAGGGTCACATGGCATTTGTCATCTGGGCTGTGCCCAGCGGGTCACCAGGGCTCAGAATGGACAAAATGCCGGGTTTTCCTTGTCCCTGGCCAGGGTGACACTGGCTGTGTCACTTTGGGGCTTGGGTGCAGCATGGAAATGAGAGACCTTGGTTCACAAGGCGTGGGGAATTTGGGGGCACGGTGGGGCTGATGGCTACTTGGGGTACACACTGAAACCAGCCCACACCCTGTCCTGCAGGGTGGGAAGGCCTCACCCTACAAGTCTGTGCAGTGATAGGTAAAAAGACCTGCAGCCGGGCATGTCTGTGGAGGGGTTGGGCCGGGCTGCAGGCGGGTACACGGGCTTCGACTCGGTCTTTGAGGTGGACAATCAAGGGCCACTCCAAGGTCACAGGGACAAAGTCAAACAACTGGCGAAGGGGGAAGGAGACCCCTCTGTGTCTTTTCGTTTCCCCACAGCGCTCCCCGTTACTTTGGCAACCCAGACCCCACGAGGGCCACCGGTCTTGAGCGGTCTGCTGACTGCGCGACCGTGCAGGCCCAGCTGGGTTTTTCCATGACAGAAATGTGGCCTTGCTGTTTGGTTGCATTTGGAAATGGGGGTTTCCTCTGGTTTCTCCTTTTATTGCAGAAAAGGGGGGCAAATGGAGGCAGGACCTCCACCGTTGGGCGGTCCTGAACACACCTTCTGGGGTGACATGGGGGTACGGTTAGACACAAAAGCCAAGGAAGTATGTCTTTCATTGTAATGCGTTTAAGCGAAGCGCAGTGACGCCCGCCGCTCCCGGCTCTGTCCGAACTGACCAGCCAGCCACCTGGTCTCCATGCCCCCTGCCATCGGGCTGTCCCCCGAAGCCTCACACTTCCTGGAGCTTTTAGAAGCTTCTAGAATCCTCCTCCCACCTATCTTGCTGCATTTCGTGACTGTTTTAACCTGTGTCCTGGGTCCCGCTGGGAGTGTTTTTCCTCAGTTCCTCCAGTGGGGTCCCAGAGGCTCCCTTAGCAGCCCTGCCTCTGAAACAGCTGATCATGGTGGGGAGGGGCACCGTCCAGGCCCCGCAGTGAGGCCGGCTGGACAAACAGACTCACAAAGCCACCACTGTCCCCGCCGCTGCCCCGGGCCGCGGCCAGCGCCCAGCGTAACCCGAGCCGCCCTGGCCAGCCCTGCCTGCCCCTCCCCAGCCATGGCGCCTGGCAGGCTTTGTGCCAACGGGACACAACTCAGAGGCCCCTTCTAGACTTTTCTTCCACTTGCAGGAGTCACCGGCCTCCTAACCCCCCCTCAGCTCGCCCACTCCCATGTCCCTCCCCGCCATGCTGTCATCCAGATTGGGGCTGTGTGTGCATCTTGGCGTTGCCCTGACCTTGGTGATCATTTGTGGGTGTCTGCGCGTTCCCGAGGCAGAACATGGCGGCTTTGGGCCGATGCCCGAGTGGGGGAGGCCGAGGCCCCAGGGGGTGTCTGTGGGATTCCTGGGCACGAGATTTCGTGGGGACGCCGGTGATGGCCGGGCTTAGTCACCTTCTCCCATCTCGTTCGTCAGGTAGAAAAGACTGGAGACACGGCTTTCTTACCCAGCTCCTTGTGTTTCTGCTTTAGGTAAAATGTCGGTTCCTGGACCTTACCAGGCGGCGGCGGCAGCAGCGCCATCCATGCCCACCGCACCCTCGTCCTATGAAAAGATGGCCCCAGCACCCATGCCGGGGCCTGCCACGGGGCTGATGGCAGGCCCAGACGGGAAAGGTGTGACCCCACCTTCATATTACACCCAGCCGGGGCCTGCGCCCAACCCCAACGCAAGTATGTGGGACCCTGCCCCCTTAGCCCTTAGCTCCTTTGCCCTCTGCCCCTGGCTTGTGGACTCTGGCAGTCAAGTGACTTGCTTAGGCAAGACTGGCATGGTAGCACACACCTGTAATCCCAGGCCTGATCAGACTAAAGTGTGATAATCTGGCTGAAAAGTAACTAAAGCACCAAGTCGGAGGGGGTGGTTCAGGTGGTAGAGTGCCTGCCTGGCAGGCAGGAGCCCCTGGGGGAGTGGAATTGCTTCAGGCCTGCGTGGGGCAGGCCGCCCTCTTGTTCTGGCAGCTGCTTCTTGGTCCTTGCTCGCTGGTCCTTCCTGACACCCAGGTGTGCCCAGGTGTGCACTGACTCAGTGTCACAAGCACTTAGAAGGAGCTCTCCAGTGGTGGGAGATGCTAATCAGAGCATGTGGGCCTACTTGTCTGACTTGTACCTCAGTTTCCTCACCTGTAAATAGGACTCAGTGTTCAATGTGGTGATACATACCTGTAGTTCCAGCGACTTGAAAGCTAGAAGCAGGAAGATCATGGTTTAAGGCTGGCTGGGCCAAAAGTGTGAGACCTTATCTGAAAAACAAGTTTAAGCGAAAAGGACTGGAGGTGTGGCTCAATGGGTAGAGCACCTACCTAGCAGGCATGGGACTCTTGAATTCACTTCTCCAGTGTCAGGGGAAAAGAAATCAACAGCCAATGGCTGGCCACCAGTGGCTCACGCCTGTCATCCTAGCTACTCGGGAGGCTGAGATCTGAGGATGGCAGTTCAAAGCCAACCAGAGCAGAAAAGTCCCTGTGAGACCCTTATCTCCAATTAACCATCAAAAAGCCAGAAGTGAATCTGTGACAGAGGGCTAGCCTTGAGTTAAAAAGCTCAGAGACAGCGCTAAGGCCCTGAGTTCAAGTCCAGACTGCACAGGAAATAGGATCAGTGCAGTAGTGAGCTGCGTCATTTCCGGGGAGCGGCTTGGGCTCTGGGCCGCAAACCCAATGACACGGGGACAGGGTCCCTGCATGTGGCAGCTGCCCTCCCCCTGGGCTTCCCAGTGTCTTACCTGCCTCCACCAGCCCTCCCCCTCATCTTGGGGTGCTGGGCCCCCCTAAGGCTGTGTGAAGAGCGCTGTGGGCAGATCCAGTCCCCATTTCTAGCCCGAGCCAAACCTGCCTCCTGCCCTGCCCGCCCTTCCCACCCTGGCTTTCTAGTTCACTCCTCTGAAACCTCCAGTTCAGGGCTTGCAGCATCCGCTCGGAGTTGGGCGGCAATCTGTGGTAATTCTAGAATATTCCCACCGGCCCCCAGAGAAGCCCCCTCAACCCTCCAAGTCCTGCCCCGCCCACCAGCCACTCACCTCTGCCTTCAGCACAGC